TGCATAATGTTCCTTGCTCTTTTTATTTTCATATTCACAAAATAAAAAAAAATTGGCCATTAAATGCTAAAAGGAAATGAACGGAAATGTCAACAAAAAGCATCAAATGAATTAGCTTTGAGCTCTTCTTACCCATCAGGCTCTGGGAGAATCGGAGGCAGCGTGTGTCTCCTCAATTTCGTCTGCCCTTCCCTGTTGTCTGAACCCAGTGTGTGAACACTCTCTTGGTCTGAATCCATCTCCTGCAAGGGGTCACGACCTCTACTGGGGAGGGTGATCTTGGGCAGGGAACCGTCCTACAGAGATATATGTCATATATGTTAGTGATCACTCTGTTCCTTTATGATTTTATCATGTCCCTCTCTTGACGAGTGTTTAAAGTCATCATGAAACTCATTTTACTGTCATAACGTGATGCAATTCCAGGTGAAGGAAAATGTTAGGCAGGATTTTGTTTCTTTGGAATAATGTGCACTGATGTTTTGTGCAAAATATAAGCAGTAATGTGTATTCACAAAGTAAACAGAGTCTGTTTTGATTTCATGCTGACTTTAAAAATGCCTGCTTGACGTACCTTAAGAGTACGAATGGTGAACTTATCCAGGGCCACGACTCTGTCCAAGTTCTTCTCATCCATTTCCTTCATGTACATCTCATAAAGCTCTTGAAGATGAGGAGGAACCAGGAGACTGTGATCTGCAAAAACATTCACCTTAACTTCTTATAACATTTATTTTTCTACAAATATATATATATATATATTTCAACTTGAACTGAATCCTCATATTGCATCATTTGCAAAACTTTACTGCAACAGTTTGGCCTGATTCATCTCTGGCTGAGATTTCTGTGCCATTTCTTATTCCTGTGAATGACTCACCAGCAATAAATTTCCGCTGCTGCTGGATGATCTCATGGCAGAGGTGTCTGTGCTGTTCGAAACGCTGCACTACCACGTTTTTCTGTCGGATCACATTGTCCTTAAGCAGCGCGCTGGACTGCATCTCTGCATTCTCGATCTCCAGCTCGTGAACCTTGCAGAGGAGGCAAAGCACTTCCCTCTGCTCCTCTGAGCTCACGCGGCGGGGGAGAAGCTCTTCAAGACGGCGTGCTTTCTCTCGGAGCTCTGCCAGGCGCTGCTCTAATCCAGCCTAAAGAGAATGGCAGAACTGTGGTTAATTACTGTGATGAGTCACTTTATTAACATTGCAAGTCATGTACAAATTATCTTTGCTTATAAGAAGTCTCAGTCTAAAAGCAGAAAGGACATATGCACTGAAGAAGGTAATATGCACTGCCTACGCAGAGTGTTCCAAATCAGTCAGTTTATTTAGGATGTTGCCTTAAAAGACAAATGCCTATGTTGCCAGTTTACCAGATTTTGGAACAGAGCTAATGTCTTTTTAATATTTTCATCTATTTCAGTATTAAGTATCTCATACAGTCGCTTTATCTTGGCTAAAGTGATAGGCATGTCTGGCAAACAGATCAATTTGAATGAATCATGATTTGATTAAAGAGATTCACCAAGTATATGTGACCCTGGACCACAAAACCAGTCATAAGGGTCAAT